AGTCATTTCCAAAGCCCAATAATCCCTGTGTCTTTATTGCAAGGTCTCTCCACAAACTGTCCTTAGGTCTTTTCTGAGGAAGACTAACACCCTAGTGGTCCACTTCTGGCTGGATCTTGCACAACACATGGAGCCATCTGTAAACAGACTTTTAGATTTTTCTTCCTCTGTCTACTTTCCTTAAGTAACATTCATGAGACCATGAACATAGATTAAGGGAAGAGTGGCAAGAGGTGAATGTGAGCAACTTTCTCAGACAACCTACTTGTGCCTTAGGACTTGCCTGGACCTAATCCCTATATGTCACTTCCTTTTGATGATGGAGTGCTGCCGGCCACCCTTACTGTTATGGCTGGGTAGATCAGAACACTAAGCTTAGGTCACATGATTACCTGGTATGTCTGCTATGGTCAGGCATCCAATTTCACCAGATCCCTGGAGTAAGCAAGAAGCTGTTTCTCAGAAAAAGAACGATTGTTTGGTAAAGGAATGCTTTACTTTGCTCCAAAAGCCAAAGCTTGAGTACAAAGGCAAAAGGTAAAACTATTTATTATGCAGCCTGGTCCAGTAAGAAAATGTCAGAAGCTGTCCATGGGCTGTGTGTGTGAACCACTGTGCATAGTAGCCTCTTGAGGGGACAGGCCTGGCACTGTGAACTCCCAGTCAGGGATTGATCACATGATGCAGGTGCGCCATCCCCCTCTAGCTCTGCCTAAGATCCCACCCAGCACCTGAGATTGGTGTGACTTGCCAAGATGTCAAAGAGATGTCACAGAGACATCTCCAGCAAGACTCTACCCTTGAAACCTTATCCCTCTCTGATGTCCCCACTATAAAATAAAGGAACCGCGGGCTCACAGGTCTCTTTAACCAGCGTTCTCTTTCCAGAGTGGAAGCTGACCTTTAAGGTCAAATGTCTGTGTTGTGTAATTTTTCACGCCTTCTTAGCTTAATGTTGCAGCCAGCCCATTTAAATGCAGTCTGTCTCGCCCGTGCAGGTCACAGGCGAGAGTTTCTCCTTGTATGTCCCACTAAAGTTGGCAGCTTTCAAGTGGTCCAGTAACTGGCCAAAATAATGTAACTGAAATGTTATCTCCCAAGTATAAAGCTGCCCGTGAAGTATTGTACATCCTTCTTAGAGGTAGGGAATATAATGTTCAGTACTTGTCTTTCACTTTGTAAAGAATATCTTGACACATCTGCTATGGTTTGAATATGTCCCTCAGGATTCATGTGTTGGAAGCTGTGCCCTTGTGGTTATGTTAAGAGGTGGTGAGATATTCAAGAGGTGGTGGCCTAGGGGAAGTTTGCAAGACTGGCTTCTCCCAATTCTCTGTCTTCCTATTGAGGGAGACATAGAAGGGCGGCTCAGGCAGCCAGGGCAAGATGGAGAATGAGGAGGTCAGGGGCAGGGCCAGAACAAAGGAGCATGGAGAGGGTCTTCTGATGAGGTCAACTTCCTGCTGGACAAAAGTGCTTGTGAACACAAGTAGGGGGACCCAATCAGAAAGACACTTCCATACTTGTGCTCATAAGTGGGGGATCCAATAGAAAAACTAAAATGGGCGGAGGGGACACCAATCAATAACAGAAAGCATGGACAGGGAGAGAGATAAGGAAATGAGGAAATCCCAGCTCTGAGGCCCCTTCTCTTTGAAAAAGTCTGTCTCTATCACTTTTACAATAAACCTGCTGCTTGCTTGCTACCTATGTGTCCTGTTCTTCATTTCTTTGCTGAACAGAAACAACCCAGCATCCCTAGACAATAACACTATCTTTTTTTTAAACCTTTATTTATTTATTTATTTTTATGTGGTGCTGAAGATCGAACCCAGAGCCTCACACATGCTACCTCACACTCTACCACTGAGCCACAACCCCAGCCTGACAATAACACTATCTTGCCATGTAATCTCTTCATTCTGCATATACTTCTGCATTCGTGGTGCCATTCACCATGAGGGCTTCACCAGAGCTGAGCTGATACTGGTACCATGCCCCTGAACTTTCAGAACTATGAGCTAAATAAGCCTCTTTTCTTTATAAGTTACTGACCTCAGGTATTTCACTATAATAACAGAAAATGAACCAATACAACACCCAAGACTTCTAAATGGTTCACTAAGTAGACAGATCCCTGTATGTTGGAAGTCACCCATGAAATATGGGTGAACCCAATCAGCATGGAAGCCAGTGGGTAGGAGAGTCTGGTATCTGGGAACTCCCAGTAGCACTCCTGCTGGTGAGACTGCCCAATACATGTGATATTCTACCCAGCTCTGCCAGGTTCAGCACTGCACTGGAGTTGGGTTGACCCACTAGAGCCACACAGACACACAGCCTCTCAGAGATGGGTGTGGCTGGCCAAGATGCCAATCAACTGCAAGACACCATGAAGCAAGACTTCACTCACTGAAACACTATCCCTGCCTTTGATGTACTCTCCCTTAAATAAAAGACCAGAGCCATTTTCTCGTTGCTCAGGTCCAGCTCCTATGTGGACTGGACCTATCAGACCTCTGCTTTCTCTTTATCTAATTCCTGGATCTGTCTCTTACTCCTTCACTAACTATTTTCAGACTTTATTTTTCTCAGGTATCTTATTATCTCCTGAGCAGGAAACTGCCATGGCAGGGTGCTAGCAGCCCCACAATACCTGTACATTTATTTGTGGGATTTATTATCCATCCTCTGGCACACACATCATGCCTCACCAAGTCATCTAGAGAATCTGTTACTTCCTGTTCTCAAGTTCCATCAGGGTGACATCACCAAGGACATGGCAGATTAGCCATAGAGCCATTGGAAAGGTGATTTGGTCAAAAAAACTGGCAAACCAAGTGTATCCAGAGAGTGACATAGCCCAGAAACATAAAATGAAGGTCTACTGCTGCCCCTGTCAGATGAAAGCAGATTATTACTGATGTTTGTTACAGTAGTCCCTCCATACCACATGCTTCACTACCCACAGTTTCAGTTACCCAAAGTCAACCATGGTCCAGAAATATTAAATGGAAAACTGCAGAAATAAAATTTTAAATTATGAGCGTTCTGAGTAACATGAAATCTTACACCACCCTGCACTGTCTTGCCAAGGATGTGAATCATCCCTTTGTTCAGTATATTCATGCTTTATACACTACCTGCCTGTTAGTCACTTAGTAGGCATTTGGGTTGAGATCTACTGCCATGGTATCACAGTGCTGGTGTTCAAGTCATCCTTATCTTACTTAATAAAGGCCCCAAAGCACAGGAGTAGTGATGCTGGCAATCTGATTATAGTATATGGCTATATTATTTCTGTTACTGTTACTGTACTTAATTTGTACTATTTAATGGGCAATTATTAAACTCCTAGGCCATACCTTTATCATAGGTATGTACATATGTATAGGAAAAAATATAGTGTGTGTGTGTGTGTGTGTGTGTGTATATATATATATATATATATATATATATATATATATAGAGAGAGAGAGAGAGAGAGAGAGAGAGAGAGAGAGCACATGCTTGGTACTATCCTCAGTTCAGGTATCCACTGGAGGTCTTGGACTTAATCTGAAGGATAAGGGGTTACTGCTCTATACAAAAGTAAGCATTGACTCTCTGGTTGACTGTTAGAAGTCAATAACTGTGCCAATCTGCTCCAAGAAGGACCATATCTGGAAGAATACCTACAACTGAAGTCCTTACCAGAGTAAGTTTATCACAACATTGTTCTCCCACCCCCTTCCCCCAGTGCTGGGGATTGAATCCAGTGCTTCCTTCATGCTAGGGGAGCATGCTAGGGGAGCACCCTTTCATTCTCTAAGGCTTTCTCTCTTCTATATTGGCCAAACTGAAGAAACAATGATGATATGATGAGAATTACTCTACATCTTTCAAATCTTTGATAGTGGCATTAATTCCTATTATGAGATGATGTACTATTTTTTATTTATGTTATCCATAGTTAAGGATACAGGGCTTTCCGTTTAGTTCTTCAGGAAGTCAATGTCAGGACTCTGTTCCTGTTGGTGATATCTATAGCAAAACTACACATAACCATTTCAGAATGTCACTGGACCAAACATGAGGCAGACAGCACTCAAAACTTTTTTTAATTTGTACCGTGTATACGTATTATATATTCCCAAGAAATAGGAGAGGGGAAATCCTATTTAAATTAAAAAATTTTAATGTTCCTTTGTGTGCCACTCAAAATCCTTTCTTGCACATACCACTTTTTGGAACGCTGAACTAGCACGTGCCCCAGTCATCTCATTTTTATCACACTGGTTGTAATTATGTATTTAACGGTCCATGTTCCACGTCACTCCAGGAGAAGGAGCTGGGTCTGGGTACAGCAGTCCTAAGCACACTAGACTGGATTGGATATCCAGTAAACCATGCATTACGAATAAAGATACAGTCGATGCCTTGGTCTCTTTTAGCTCAAGCAGACCACGAGCCCAGGATCTCTGGCTGGATGATGCTCAGCAATCTTTCACAGGCCGGCTTTAGCCTCTAGGTTTCTCCACTGCAAAATGGGAATGATCCGTACCTGACTCAAGTGCTGCTGGGAGGAGTCAGGAGACGAGTGTGAAAGTATCGTAGCAGAAATTAATTCACTCATCCATTTAACAGGCAATTATTAAACTCCTAGGCCCTCGCAGCGCAGCTGCCACAACAATACAAACGTTTCTCCGGCAAGTCGCATCCCTTAAGACCTGTGCGGGGAGGGCTGGGAGCTGGAGTGTCTCACAGGCCGACTTTCCTTCCACCGAACTCAGGGCGTGGACCTTATTAAAAATGGCGCAGAAAGCGTCGGGGACCAGTGCGGCGGCGCAGATTCTGAGTGCCCTCTGACCTCCTGGCAGCGGGCGGAGGGGGAGCCGGGCGCCGCCATATTGGCTGTTGTCCTGTGAGGGGAGCGGCGGCGGCGGCGGCGGCGGCGGCGGCGGCGCGAGTGGGGCGAGGGAGCGGCGCGAGCGGCAGCATGACTCGGAGGCGGAGCAGGCCGAGCGGCGGCGCGGGCCGGCGCGAGCGGGCGCGGGCCGCGGGGCTGCAGAAGCCCCAAGCACCCGAGCCCCCGCCGCCGCTGAGCTTGGAAGCCGGAGTGGGAGCAGGGCCCCCGGAGGCGCCGGTGGAGCCCGACCACGACGGCCCCAGAGAGGAGGACGAGTCCAAGCTGGCGTCCGGCCTGCAGGTAGGAGCGAGCGAGGCGACTCCGGCTGGTCGGGCGCTTTCACCTCCCCGGAGCGGGAGTGGGGCGGGGTTGGGCATGGACCATCCTGCCCGGCTCGGGCCGGAGCCTTCCCCCAAGTCGGGAGTTGAGGCTTTCTCCCCCTGGGGTGGGAGTGGAAGCTGAACCCCCTCTCTCCAAAGCCGAGACTTGGCCGGTCCTCCTGTGACAAGGCTGAAGCTGTCCCCTCTCCCGCCGCCTCCGGGCTGGAGCAGAAGCTAAACGTTCTGGCTATACACCCACATTGGACTGGGCTTTGGTCTTGAGGCCACAGCTCAGCTTTCTGCCCTGGGCCCACCTGCTCCCCAACCCACCCACAGGCCATCTCAGGGCGCTGGAGTCTGCAAGGCAGCCTCTTGCTTGTTCCCCTGCACTGCCTTTAGCCGCTGCCCCTCAGCAGCTGTGCCCCCAGCATCAGTCTCCAGGGACTCCCTCCTCTCCCTGCCCAGCAAGGCAGTTGGAGCAGCCAGCCAGGCTGTCCAGAGGACTGTTTGGTGGGGCTCCTGACCTGAGGTGGAAACCCAGAAAACTTGCCCTTTCTCCCCTCTATACTCACGTCCCACAAGGCGTCCCCCGCCCCACCCCTCAGATCCCTGGTTTGGCGAATCCTGCTGAGAGTGAGCAGTAGGAGGATTCTCGAAAGCTTCCAGCTTGCCACCTGGCAGAAGGTCACTTTCTTTTGAGCAGAGGAGATAATAGGAGGTACCCTGCCAGTGTTCACTGTGAGGCGGGGGTGGCAGGGGCCACAGTTGCTCTGGGAGGGTTATGGTACCTGGGGCTGGGTGGCTCGCCCTAAGCTTGCTCTGACAAAAGAGTTTTGAGTTGGTCTTTTGGCTGAGCCTGCCAAGGAAGGCAGGCCCCTGCAGGAGTCTTGGAGGGTCGGATGCAGCCGGATGAGGATGAGGCGTGGCAGAAGATGCGTTTGGCTCTGCAGACACTGCATCGGGCAGCAGGGGACTCTGGGAGGCTGGTGCAGCCAGAAGGCATGGCTCTTGACAGCCTTCTAGTAGAATCTCTGGAATTGTGCATGTGAGTGGGGATGCCATTTGGGGTACTATTCCCAGAAAGCCTTCCCTGATCTCCCCAGTTGCGTCAGGTGCCCCCTCTGTGCCCACAGTCCTCTGTGCTTCCCTCTGGTAGCACTCCCCATTATGTGATGAAATGTTGTGTTGATCTGTCTATTCCCTGCACTGGACTGTGAACTCCACAGGAACCCAGACCATGTCATATATCTGATCTTCCATGCCTAGGCCAAGGCCTTGTCGACACAAAGATGAACTAACTAGGTAAATAAGAGAAAGAATGAATCAGCCCAGAGCCTGTGCTTATTATAACCTAGTTTTAGTGCTGTCTCCTTTGTATCAGATTACAGTGAGATTTTTAATTAATGAAGCTGTCATTGCTTATTGAGTATCTGAAGCCCCACCTTCATCCCCACCTCCTACCCTCAGCTGACTCCAGTTCCAGAGGAAACTCCCTGGGTTGGACCTGGAGACCTCCTGGGTCTGGCTTCCAACCCTGAGTCTGCTTTTTCCTCTAATCTACTCTGGACCCCCTTTGGCAGTGCTGTTATCCAAAAAGGAGAGTGGAAAAGGAGAGAGCCTGAGTGATGTCTGTCATCTTCTCTCCTTCCCATTCAGATCATACAGTACTTTAGGGTCCCTGACATGTAGAGGAGCCGAAAAACTTGATGATGGCTTAACCATTCAGTTTTATTGAGGACACAATTTTCCCAAGGGCTATAAGCTTCGTTAACTCTTCTGATATCTAGGTCTACCAYGTTCTTATATTTGTGACCTGTCAATTCATTCATTTATTCTAATAGGCACCTGACATACCTTGCTCCTGATCTTCCCACCTCCCCTGTATTTCTCCAGAACATTTAGCACAAATATGATGGGTTAACTATGGTGTAATTATTTGTCTGCTTTTATATATAAACTAAGATTGCAAAAACCAAGTCAGTCACCATCATATCCCATGCCCATTGATTAACAAATGTTAATGAACAAACTGAATGGGATATATTTATATATTTACCCTGTTTTTCAGATGAAGAAATAGAAACCCAAATAAATATTTTCCCAAGACTGATGATGTAGCTCAGTGGCAGAGTGCTTACCTAGCATGTGCAAGGTGCTGGATTCAATCCCCAGTACCACAAAAAATAAACTAAAATTGCCCAAATGACTTCCACTATAGGTATGAAGCCAAAAAAATTCACTCTTGTATTTTGAGGAATTTTTAATAGCCACAGAAATGAAACACATTGACAAACTGTATTCTGATTGTGCTCCACTTATTTGCTGGAGGTGGAATCTGGATTCAAAACCAGGCTTTTGTGCGCTGGTGAAAAGTACTAGTGAGAGGGTGGGGGATCAATCATTGTTCTGTCCACAGGCGTGCCTTTGGTGAGGATTTCTGGCTCCCACCCCAACTTGAACATAGACTGGATAAGGAAAGTCAAACTTATGTCATATGGCAACCCCAGTCCAAAGGCAGCAAATAAGACCACTCCCAGTCCACACTTTTTTTTTTTTAAATCTGTTTTTATCTTAATGTGAACTAGTATTTTTAAAAAATCAAGAAGTTTCCCACAAATCTGAATTCTTGCTTCTCAAAACTAAGATTATGGTAATACCAGGCCCACATCTCCACGAGATAGTAATCTATCTGAGTAGCACTGCTGTCTTTATGTGGCATGTGCTCTTTATGCCTCTCTGGTTCTTTCTAGGCCTCTTCACTCATTTGCATAACTGGTACACATTTAAATGTAAGACCTCAAGGTTAATTGAAATCCCAAAAGTCCTTCCAATTTTTTCAGGCCTCTAAACCACATTGATCTGATCCTTAAGAGCATAAATCCTTTTACTTCAAGAGCAAACTAAAACAGGTACTGCCTATTAGCAAAGGGAAAAAAACACACAAAACTTAAAAACAGTTGAAGGAGACTATGGGGAATAGTGTTTACCAACTTGAGTTGAACTCCCAGCTCTGCCTTCTGCTTTGTGATTCTGAGACCATTTTTTCTCTCTTTGAGCCTCATCAGTGACTGCACAAGAGAATACGAAGCAGCATGCAGAGCACCTAGTACATAGAGATTCCTCTGAGGTGGCAGGAACTGTACCTACCAACCAGACAGCCTAAATATCCTCACTTGCTAGAACTACTAGCTAGCTGTCTTTGGTCTCTCTTAGACTACTCAGCTGTATTCCAGCTGTATACTCAGCCCCCAGGAGACTTGCTAGAATGTAAACCAGCAATGAGGGGGGTGGGTGTAAACTCATGCTGTTCTTCCACCCCTCATGTACCTCTTCAATGCTGATCTCTTTACAGTGTCCCCTGAGACTTTGTCCAGTTTAGTTTTTAAGGGACTCTAGAGACCCAGTTCTCCTTCTGCTCAGAGGAAACCTGTTTCCTCAGGAATTGGAGCAGATGATCAGTTGGTCTCTATTAAAACCATCTCATGTTTAATTCACTCAGTAAGCTCTCTGCAACAGGTTCTTTTTTTGGGATTCACAGAAGGATGAGATAGTCCCTACCCTTAGGGACCTCCTGCTTAGAATCCCACCCTGCCCTGAACCACTTCCATACTAGTGGGAGGAAGTGATACTGAGGGGGCAGCCCTGCCACACAATGGTTCTTTATAAGCCAGTAGAGACTTGCCGTGTAAAAATGCTATCAGTCTTTGAAGATAAAGGCTTAACCACCCAGGTTAATTTCCCTAAAATGTCCCAGAATAATAAGTTTAATGTCCATTATCAGATGGATACTTAAGATTCTAACACCTTTCCTTATTGTACGTAAAATTTTTCAGAGCATGGACAGTATTAATTCATCTTTGTGGTATTGTGTATGGTCTTTACAGGTCTGTTAAACTAAATTATAATTTAAAAATCAGGTTTCTATGACTTTGTTCTTAACCCCTGTCCCCTCACTGGGCCATACTGACAGTCACTCATTCATTTAATTCAGGCTTGATAAATATGCTGTGATGCCCAATTATCCTCTCTTCTGGTGTTTATTCTGCAGACACTAACTGACCCCTGTTTTGTACCAGGCCCTGAACTAGCTGTAAAGGCAGAAGCAAATGAGACATGGTTCTTGCCCACAAGGGGCTCATGGTCTACAGACCATGTATATAGTAATTGCAGTAATGCTAGAAGAATGTATTGTATCAGCTTCCTCTGAGTAAAGGTTTAAATCATATCCTTGTAAACCACATCCTCATAACTGGCCTTTGAAAGTGTTTCAATCAGCCTCTTGGTTTGTTTTCTCATGTTTGAAATGACAGTGAGTTCAGGCTCACAGGGTTAATGTTAGGGTTCTGTCAAGCACTTCACACAAATGGTAGCTATGGTCATTGTAGATGCTTGATGCTGAGAATGCCCAAGACATGATAGCCCAGAGGCTGGATCAGAAAGGGCTTCTCAGAGCCTAATTTTCACAGTTGAGAACAAGTTCTCCAGAAAGCAAAGTGGGAGAAGGAGGTCTAAAGAAGGAAAGGAGCACATACAAAGAGCCACAAAAGAGCACTGACCGACTCATGGGTGAGCCTGGAGAGATCAGGCTGCAGAAGTTAGCAGGGCTCTTGTTTCACCACACCAAGTAGTTTGGTCAGTGAGGAATCAATGAAAGGTTTTAAGTAGGAAGTTGATCAGCATGTGCCTCAGTAAATCCTCTCTGATAACATGTGAAGAAGTAATTCTCAGTGGGAGAGGTACTGTGATTGCTTGATTCCACAGCTTCCTCACCCCTGCCTAACTAATCATTGGATCCCCTGTGCTTTTTTGGACCCTATCCCAGACCTACAAAACCAGAGTCTCCAGGTCTAGAACCCAGAAATCTATTGTTGTTAGAATCCAGGTATTCTGAATGTGGCTGGGTCTAGGAACTGCTGAATTGAGGAGGCCTAGGGTTTTGTTTAAAGAATGAGGCCACCCAGGGAGGAACTTTTTCATAAG